TCTTTATCCAGTCTCCAGTTGATGGGCATTTGGGCTGTTTCCAAGTTTTAGCTATTACAAACTGTGCTGCTATGAACATGGGCGCACATATATCACTGTGGTATGATTCTTTTATAGAATTTTTCTAATAAAGTTCTAAGACAAACCTCTTTCAAACGATGTGTATTTTGTTTTATATGTCGCTCGAACAGTCGTTCTAAAAACCTACAAATGATAAATAAAGAGGTTAATGTCTCAAAACCAGAAAATCAACTAAATATAAAGTAGTTATGTAATGCTCAAAGAACTAAAGACTGGGACATATTTTTTAGATTAGTCTTTTTTCTTTCTAAAGCTGAAGACTAATCCTTCCCTGTTATTTTAAGCTCTTCATATAAACTAGTTTGGCTTCTACTAGCAGTTTACTTTCGTTTACAGTATGAATGCTGATGTTTCTGAGATTATATGCTACTCCTACTTCTGTGACTAAAATAGTTTTTATTAGTACCCGTTTGCAGTATGTAATGTTTGTGTTCCTTGTGTAGAGTTGGTGCGTGTATATAACACATCTTAATTTACTTTTTCACCCCCTTCCCTTCCCTTTCTCCTTTCCCTCCATCTCTTGATGCTCTTCCCATTTGAGAAAGATCTATTTCCCTACTTTCTATCATCTTCGTCTTGGTTTTACATTTATAATATAGGTTTCTCATATAAAAGAAACCATGCAATATTTAAGCTTATGTGTGTGTCTGATTTAGTTTCCCTTAACATTATTGACTTAAGTTGCATCCATTTTCCTATCAATGACTCAAGTTTATCTTTCTTTATGGCAGAGTAGTACTCCATTGTATGTAAATTTTCAGCTGTTGATGAATATATAGGCTGCTTCCAAGATTTACCTCCTATGAATTGTGGTGCTATAAACATGGGTATGCATGTGTCACTGTAATACTGTCTTTTGAAACAAAAATTCTCTCACCTCCCCCAAAGCTTGCCCCCACCTCATGCTCAAGCACACATATAAGCAAACACCAAAAAGCCTGTCTTTCTCTGTCTTTTTTTGTATTAGAATTTTTGTCTTTCTCTGTTTCATTTTTTCACATATACACACACACAAAACCAAACTTAATAGAAAATTCTCGTGTGGAGATATTTTACAATGTTTCCTAAATTATACTTGGAAAAAATATCACTAATGTTACATCTACATAATAACTAACCTAACAGTTAATACTTACTAAGCATCACTAAGTCCTGGACACATAATGATAATTTATCTGTATACCTGACCAATGTTGGGAGAAAAAGGTGTTAAAAAAAAACTTAAAGATGAGAATACCACATCTCTAATAATTTTCTCTCTCCTAAGGTCACAAGCCATTAAGAAAATTTAACCTAGAGGAGCCTTGCTCCAGAGAATTTGTTCTTTCCACTTCACCATGCTTGGCTATCACATTAGAATATCAGTACGTTTCTTGGAAAACAACTGATTTACCTGGTTACCATCTGTGAAGTTATGAGCCAAACTTACTGTAGTTTTAAATTATTTAACAGCCCTTGTTGCTTTGGTATCTTCAGTCGACCATGAGCTGTTGCACATCTTCTATGTGCCACCCTGCCTTGCAGCCAGGTGATTGTGGACTGAAGCCTCTAGAAACTAAAAGGAGACTGGAAATGGCATGTGTTCCTGAGTGGGCATCTGAGAGCTCTAGCCTCCAGGCACAACCCTGTATATCAAACACACCCTGAAGAAACAGGACAGCTGGCGCATCTCTGTTCAAGGTCTTTTTCAAACAGTAATTGTCTTGGAGCCTTCCAGCCTGCCATATCACCACCCTCAGCAAAGAAGAGCAGAGCCACCCCCAGCATTGAGGAGGAGTCTTCCAGGCCTCTGAACCACTGCCCCCAGTGCCAAGGAGCAGAGCAGCCCCCAGTGCTGAAGAGGTGAGCACACACTCCTCCCCCTTGAAATCAGAAGACATGCAAACAAGTCTCAAATCCAGACTTCCAGATCACCTAAAGCAACCTCAAAGGGAAACAAGATGGAACAATCTGATACTCAACCACCCGGACTCCCTGAACTCACAAGAAATGAGGATCTGGAAAAAATGAAATGAGAAATAATTTCTCACATAACAGCAGAGATTGTGCCCATAGTACAAGACATGATTAATAAATCTCGAGCAAACACAGATAAAAAACATAGAGGAGCTGAGGAACATGATGGAATCCCAACATAGGAAACAAATGGAATCCATAAAACAGATGCAAACAGATTTCCAAGAGA